GTTTTGTATAATGATTAGTTATAGTTTTTAGTTATATTATACAGAAAATTGTAGAATAGTCTAGAATATTATAGAATATTTTAAAATGTTTTGGAATATCTTTGAATCACATGGCAAACTCCAAAATTTTACAGAATGTTTTAGAACTTTTTAGAATTTTTTAGATATTATTAATCAATAATTAGTAATACATATTACCTTAATATTATACAAAGAGTACTGTGAATACTATTTTTAATACTATAAATACTGTAGCTAAAAATAACTATTGGTCTACTCAAACACTATAAACACTAACACAGATTACTAATTCTTAGTAGCTAAAGGTTATAAATACAGACTTTTTTCTCTCTTAACTTAATATGATATAGAATTAAAATCATAATAGTTTGTAAAGCAAGATAAATAATAAAAACTTCTCCAAATAATAACTGCTCTCTAGTTCTTAACAATAAATAATATTTTAATATCTTTAGTCTTCTCTTAGACAAATTTTTGTACTTCGTTTTTTTATAATTTTTTTTTATTATTTTTGATTTTTTTAGTTTTTGTTATTGAAAATAATATTTTCTTTTCTTTTATTTTTGATTTTATTGATTTTAGTTTTGTTTATTTACTAATAAATAAACTGGTACCTTGAATAATAACTATGAAATCTTTCTGCTACCTAAAAATTTGTAGATTAATAAAGAACTACTCATAATACTATTCTGTAACAACATTGCTAATTAGATACAAGTAGTATAATTAGTAATATAACAAGTTCAAAAATAGAAGTAGAAGGCAACTAACTACTAGTAAATAAAAAAATTAAAGAAGAGTTTAGTCAAATAGAAGAAGTTCAAAAAACTAAAGAAAAAGAAAATATTACAACAAATTCAAACTAACAATATATTATCATAGAAGAGTTAGAAGATAATTTACTTCTTGCAAACTCAGACTCATTACTAGAAAGAAGTATTTAAGTATCAAACAAAAATAGATATAAAAGAAAAAAATATTAAGAACTAAAGTAGTAGTTATTTTTTTTTTATTTTTCAACAAACTATTCGCAGATTTTTATTAAGTATTATTTTCAAGTTATATTTGTTAGTAAGAATATAATTAGCTATATATACAACTTTAGTTATTGTCTATTTAAAGATTTTACTATGTAGGTTATTTACTAATTGCTATACTTAGCATCTGCTTGTAGATACTTTATTTAAATTTTTTAGTATTACAGTAAAACTCTATTTTTAATCTAATATTTTATATCTATGCTAATTTTGTGCTATCTCATTTTGAGAACTACTTAGACTAATTTGTATCTCTAATTGTCTTCATAGAACTGAGTTCTATCACAAGGTACTTTAATAATATTCTATTTTAGTAAGAGCTTGCAAATAACTTTAACTATGCTATGCTATATTCTAATTAAGCTAGTATATACCTTTATCAGTATTTGTACAAACTCAGTTTCTTTTATAGCTTTCTATCAGATTAGTTAGTTTTTCTGAATATTTTATGAGATAGATCCTTATAAATCTAATTAGCTGCCAAGTCAAGTTGGTATTACTATTTGTGTAATGTTATATCATGCTTAACTTTTCTATTATACTATAGCTTTACTTGTATCTACTCAATTTACATCCTTCATTCTTAGACTTATTCCAGATCAAGCATTAAGTTGGCATAACTAAAGGTATGGACATTAGAACATGAAATAATATATGTCATAGCTGTAACTAGGGTAGCTACTCAAATTTTATATGACGTAGGAAAGTAGCTACCCTTGATCTGACAAATGTCTGCACCTCTAGGCATAACTATTGAAATCTGTACTACCTCATCTAATTCAAGATTTTTACTATACAGGTCCTCTGCTTATAGATCTTATTAAGATTTATTCATATAATATTATATTATACTTGACTTTTCTGTTATGCTTCCAATATCTAATTGATATTAGTACAACATGATTTATAGAATTACAACTCCAGAAATGAACAGGGTTTACTATAAGTTAGATACAAAGATCTAAATAATTATTCAAATTTGTTGATAGTGAGATTTGAACTCCAGACCTCTTATATAACAATCTAACAATCTAACTACTATATTAATATTACCAAACCTTAAAGTAGTAGTTATTAAAGTTTTCAGAGATAATAAGAAATATAGAGAAAAATCATTAAGATAGTTAATAGAAAGAAATATAGATAACAATGCTAAAGAAATTGTCGATAAAATTAGGTAATACAGATATTGTGTGTAGTTTATCTGATTTAATAATCAATATTCAATCTAATTTTAATTATTTGCATAATTTACAGTTATTATATTACTAGTGATGATGCAGCCATTGCAAATAAATCAATACAAACAATCTTTAATATTGCTATACGTATTGGAAGCATATTGGCTTACTCCTTTGAAATTTTCATTAAGTTATTGGAAACTAGCAGAGATAATATTGTATCGAGTATTATTATGATACTTGAAGGTATTATTTAACAAATTGAAAAATATTTCAAAAAATATATATTTTTTGTTTTTTTTCTAATTGATATTTTTATTTATCTTTTTTTTGGGGGGTGTTTGTTTTTAAAAAACAAGATTTATTGAATGAAAGTCCTGATAAATTTGATGGACTACTCTCAGTTTTGCCATCTATTTGAGTATCTGTAGATCTAACATCATCTGCAGGACCAGTGTTTCTAAACCTTTTAATGGCAGTTAAAAATACATTATCTGAGGCTCCATATATTTTAGAATCTTTGATTGAAAATATAGAAAATTATCTAGGCATATCATTTCGTTTGCAACTGCTTAATTCTTCAGTTGCTCTATTCTTACTACGATCAGCAGAAAGTAAGGATATATTGGCAAAATTATTTAAGTACACTATAGTGTTAATGAAGTATTTAGAAGTGAGAAAGAGAGCATCATTCTTTTATCGATTACTACAGTTCGACATTGAAACAGTGATTATTGATTATCTAATAATTAGAATTAATTTTGTATATATATTTTTTTTAATGAATTTTTTCAAATCATTCATAAAAAGGCAAAAAAAATTTTCACTTTTTGACATAAAAATCAGAAAATTTCTAATAAAAATTTATAGAATATTACAAAGATATGATACTTTATTTAAAGATACCTATATAATACTCATATTTGTTTTTTGTTACTAAGGTTTATATAAATTATTACCTTTAAGGTCTGGTGATCTTAGTATAGTAGTTAGGTTGCTAGACCGCTATGCAAAAGGTCTGAAGTTCAAATCTCACTATCGACAAATTTGAATAATTACCTAGACCTTTGTACTCAACTTACAGTAAACTCTGTTCGTTTCTGGGGTTGTAACCCTGTAAGTTAAGTTGCACCAAGTCAATCAGACATTAGTAGTATGACGCAATTAATCACAGGATGATATATATTATACAAATAAATCTTGATAGAAAAAATATTAGTGTGGCAGCAGTTAATCACAGGATGATATATACACATGAATGATCTATAGGTAGAGAACCTGTATGGTAGAAATCTCAAGTTGGTAAAGTAGTATAGCTTTTGACAGTCACATCAGTTTATGCTTGATCCAGAAAGAAAACTATTGTAAAGATGCAGATTGAGTCAGGTACGTATAAATCTGTTCTACAGGGAGAATTGGTAACACTAACTTGGCTTAGTAGCTAACTGGATTGGGAGGATCTGCCTCGTAAAACATCCAAGAAGATAGATACAGAAAACTAGTAGAGAGCTATGATAGGAACTAGGGTTGTACGAACATCTACAAGGGTCTAAGCTAGATGAGTCCATGAAATAGGCACAGGCCACTTTAGTAGGTTTGCTTCGAGGTTAACTGGAGCTTTGCAGGCTCACAATATGTTGAGCAATAAGCATTCTGAGAGGACCTAAGCTAGTGTCGAAAAATAGATCTGTAATGAGCTAGCTGGCTTAAGTGATTAGGTGTTACAGTGATGTTAGTTTGTAATGATATAGGTTAGTTGAACAGAGTGTTTAAATAGGTAACTCACAGATAGATTACAGGTATGGTAGCATAGTGTAGAACTAATCAGATGGTCTATCACCTGTGCAACGGACTACTTAAATTAGATAATGACTAAAGTTGTACATATGGCTTGTTGTATACTTTTCATATAATTACAAACTATAAAGATTGCCCATGTGTAATCTTATATATCAAACTAATAAAAATCACCTGGCAATGTAAAGCTACCTTAAAAATAAAAAAAAAAATAAAAAAATAAATTATTACCTTTAATTGATAGAATCGTCTATTATATGAATTCAATACACTTTCTGTGTTTTATAGAAAACTATTAGAACAATTTATAATAGATACTGGGCCAACCTTTTATTTGCAGAATAAATAAGAAATTGATAATTCACAATTTTCAAATACTCTGGAACTTGATACAGTAATGTTACAAGTAATTCATATAATTTAGTTACTTTATAAAAATAGCTCAAAATTTGAATTACTAAAAGTTGGCTTTTTAAAAGTGCTGATAAAGTATTAATTTTTATCAAAATTTGTACTTTATTAGCACTTTGTTACTATAATTTTAGTATAAAAAAATATTTGAAAATTATTATAATAATAAAATATTAATGTTTGCAAAATATTAGTAGTAATAAAAGCTAAAAAATTATTAATAATTTAGGTAGTTAATAGTGCTGATAAAGTAATAAATTAGTAGAAATACTAATTTAATACTTTATTTTGCTTATATTTTGCAAATTTTTAAATTTTCAGATTTTTGTAAAGTAGTCACCTAATTTTTCTTTTACTTACAGTATCTTATATAAATTAATTATTCAGGTTAATGAGTATAATAGAGATACTTTTACACTATCAAACATGAATCCAATCAACGCAGATGCAAATGTCTTCAAGTCATATTGGAATAAATTTAAAAATAGGAATTTTTGTAAGTTTTCATTTTCTGTATGTTACTATAATTTTTGAATTTAAAAATTTTATTTACAATGTAGTGATCAATTAGAGATATCTCTTCTAAAGATATTTATATTTGCGAAATCTTTGACACTTGATAACATTAAAGATGTATTTAAGGAGAATAATATTTTTACTATGGTTTCGGGAAACATAGGAGATGTATTGAAATTCTTTTTATATGCTGAAGGGTAGGATTACTCTAAATTTATTCTAATAATTCAACATTTTATTCGGAAATTTAAAAACTCTATATTACAGGTGAATTCTCATGTGTTGATATTATGCGAGCTGAAAATTAATATAAATTTAGCATCAGCTAGCATTAATATTAAAACAGGGTACTTGGCGCAAAATAAAATTATCTTTGATGCACAAGAAACATAATTATTTAAATATTCTCAACGTTTTTCTTATTATTTAATCACGTGTTTGCAGAATTTAAAGAATTTGATCATGTTTAATAGTTTATAACAATAAATTTCTATATTGAAAGAAAATTTTGCCTGGAAAAAAATTCCAGATACTCAATTACCTTAATTTAATTATGGTGTTTATCCGATAATAGAGATTTGACTCGTCAACTTATGATTCGAATAACTCGATTCATTTATGCAATTTATAACTCGCTAATAATTTGCAATAAATTATCCCTTACACCCTCAGGATCTGCAGTAGATCGGATACCCAATCAACTTTATAAGTACCGGTAGTTGTTTTAACCCAAAAAAATGCTACGTATAAAAAAGTAAACTTTAAATTATTTTGGTTTTATTTTTAAAATTTTAAATAAAAAAATTAAATTAGTAATTCTTTTATACAAATATTAATTTTAATTAAATATAATAATCTATGATATTTTGAATTATTTTACATTTATTACTATATAACATTTAAGCGATGTAAAACATCGTAATTGTATTTGAAAGTGACAACAGCTACATTGTTTACAAGATTGTTATTCATTTTTTACAGATTGTTATTTAAGCAACTCGCTATCACCAGAATACCCGATTTAAGAATCATTTAGTGATAAATTCGCAATTCGGTCCTGAACTTTCTTAATACTATCTTTTTTCTTTGAATCTTCTTTGTAGACTTCCACGGGCTTATGACAACGTTCAACTAATAAAAGCATAGCTTTTATATATTCAATAAGGTGAAGTCTAGTCGATTCATCTCCAATAATATCCTCAACAGTCCAACTCGCAATTTGCCCAGGGCCAAGAGTCTCGTTATTCTTGAGACATTCACCGTGTTTATCATTATAAACCTAAAATAGTAATAGTTAAATTATCAATTTACGTTTTGCAAAAAAAAAAAAAAAAATTCAAAATGGGTATCACGAACCTCAATAGTATACCAGTAAGAACCATGACCTGTCTTTCCAAGCATTTTACGACAATTTGATTGCTCCGAAAGGGGCACTTGCTCAATGCGAGTCAATTCCGCAATGAAAGGTTTATGCAACATATATTTTGCCACTTGCTTATAATTGATGGATTTCACGTGAAGATAATCAACAATGTTCTCATAAGTTATCATATTGTTCGTTGGACTAACTGAGACCTTTTTCATGAACGTATTGAATGGTTTGACATCAGAACGAAGAATTCGTCTCGATGCCAAACTTATACCAAAATCGAAGTTACTATAGACAATAAATCATAAGCATTAGGAAAAAGTTTTTTATGATACAAAAACTTGTAGAAAGTATAGAGCCCAAACTCGATAAGATTGATCAATACAAAAGAAAAAAAGAAAGTTCTTATAAATCCTCTAAATCAAGCAAGTCTTTAATACTCGGGTCACTAACTTAATTTGTAGTAACACAACATACCGATCCAAAACCGTCCAATCAACATCAACGAGATGATTCCATTGCATTGTGACTTTGTCCAAAGACACAAAATCACAATTGACATACATAGATACAGGTGTAAATCCGGAATGCGGTGAATTTCTTGCATTTGCGTTGATCTCGAAGAACGAAGTTCTGCCACATGGCTTTTGACCAAGGACTTTTACGAAATCTTGATACAAAGTCTCATTGGTTGTAGCACTATTAAATGATAAAAATTAAAGCATCTAATAATGAAATTTAAATATTATATTAAAGCACTTACTGATTTCTGTATAATGGACTAACTCCATGTTCACCAACGATA